ACTAATATTAACAGGGTAAATTCATTATATAAACCCTTGGGTAAACTTAATATAAAAATCATGAAAATTGACTGGGACATCAATTAGAAGTTTCCGGGGTCCTGCTGCGAATTGAGGTTTATTTCCTATTTTGGAAAGGTTCTTTTAATATTAATATTAATATTAATATTGACTAATTACTTTTTTTCCGTAGCCTAGAGAGATCTTCAATATTCAAGAGAATGTCTCGAGTGGCTTTTTTTCCGTACCAATAAAGCAGATTTGAAAGATATATACATAGGAACCGATTAACGTTATTGCAAGCTAATACTAATATTAAGAATTCCAGATTTGCCATTTTTGAAAAACGTGAAAACTTGGCGCAGAATTTTATTATAGTGTTGTGCACTGTACGCCCAAACTAAAAAATCTCATTAATATTATACGCGGTTTCATTGAATTATAGCAATAGATTGTTTATTAAAAACATCAAGAGCCTATATATAATATGACTGACTTTCGAATTAGTAAACCAAAGTTCTTTACTACCACAAAAAAAGGTAAATTTTTTTTAATGTAATACTAGTAATATTAATAGAGATTCCACAAACAAACTTTTTCCTTCTTACTTCTAATAATTCGGACTTTTTCTAAAGGTGAAAACTATGAGCTTCGTGCTGATCTAAATAGTGAATATCGAGATCGTCGTAAAGATGCAATTAAAAAAGTGATTGCTAATATGACAGTTGGAAAAGATGTTTCAGGATTATTTCCTGATGTTTTAAAAAACATGCAAACAGAAGACTTAGAACAAAAAAAACTGGTATATTTATATTTGATGAATTATGCAAAGACTCAACCTGAGTTGGTCATTTTGGCTGTCAATACTTTTGTAAAGGTATTTTTATATATGTATATGTATATATATATATATATATGTTGTTAAATTAGAATTTCATTTTCATCCATTCCACTCACTTATCCTATTCATAGTTTGTCAATTGTTTTTTTTAATCTATAAATATATGTGTATGTATATGTAATGTATTTCTAAAGGATACAGATGATAGTAATCCATTAATTCGTGCATTGGCTATTAGAACAATAGGATGTATTCGAGTAGAAAAGATTATTGATTATCTTTGTGAACCATTGAGAAAATGTTTAAAGGTAAATTTTTTCAATTTCATAATAATGACGATAATTTTTTTTTATTTTTTCATTTTAGTTTATATAGAAAATATTTTCTTCGTAGGATGATGATCCTTATGTTCGAAAAACTGCTGCAATTTGTGTTGCTAAATTATATGATTTAAGCTCTGAATTAGCTATAGAAAATGGATTTGTTGCCATGTTACAAGATATGGTATCAGATTCAAATCCAATGGTAAGACATGATAAATTATATATATATATATATATATATATATATATATACTTGTTTATTATTTATTCATTGTTCATTAAAAAATTTTTTGATAATAATAATAAGGTTGTAGCTAATGCTATAACCGCTCTTGGTGAAATAAACGAAGCATCAACTACAAAAAACATATTTGTCATTAATACATCAACGCTTTCAAAATTATTAGTAGCCTTAAACGAGTGCACAGAGTATGTATTATGTGCATTTACATAGACATAGGCACACATATATATTATTGATTTCCATAATATTATATGTATATAGATGGGGTAGAATTGCCATATTAACAGCATTAGCAGACTTTAAACCAACCGATAGTAAAGAAGCCGAACATATAGTTGAACGTGTTATTCCGCAATTTCAACATGCTAATGGAAGTGTAGTATTATCAGCAATTAAGGTAAAATCAGAAATATATTTTATATAAATAAAGTTTTTTTTTACTTTTACTTAAATAATAATAATGATAATGATAACAATTATAATAACAGGTAATAATGATTTATATGAGAAATATAACAAATGTTGATTTAGTTCGACAATTAATAAGAAAAATGGCACCACCTTTAGGTAATAACAATAAACTTAAAGATGAAGCACATTACTACCGTTATTATAATTACAATTAATATAAGAAAAATCATATTATAGTCACATTGTTAGCTTCGCCACCAGAAGTACAATACGTTGCATTAAGAAATATAAATCTTATTTTACAAAAACAACCCGATATCTTGCAAAATGAAATTAGGGTTTTCTTCTGTAAATATAATGATCCACCTTACGTAAAATTGGAAAAATTGGAAATTATAATAAAACTGGCCAGTGAAAAAAATGTTGATCAATTGTTATCAGAATTAAAGGAGTAAGGATTACTTTTTTTCTAATAGGAAAAATTTCATCAAAATTTATATATTGATATTCACTTGTGATTATTATAGATATGCTTCTGAAGTTGATGTTGATTTTGTAAGAAAATCTGTTAGAGCCATTGGACAGTGTGCAATAAAAATTGATGAGGCATCTGAAAGATGCATTAATGTTTTATTGGATTTAATAAACACAAGAGTAAATTATGTGGTTCAAGAAGCTATAGTAGTTATTAAAGTAAATAATATAGGAAGGATTAAATTACTTTTATTGGTTTATTATTTATTATTACAACTTATTTTTCTAAATTTTTAAACAAAATTTTCATAATGAATGAAAAAAAAAGGACATATTTCGAAAATATCCACATAAATATGAAGGAATTATCCCAACATTATGTCAAAATCTAGATGCATTAGATGAACCTGAAGCAAAAGCTTCACTTATTTGGATTGTTGGAGAATATGCTGAAAGAATAGAAAATGCTGGTGATTTAATCCTTACATTTTTGGATACTTTTCGTGATGAAAGTCCCCAGGTAATATATGTATATTTATATATTGTATATATTTAACTAAATTATTAATTATTAATCTTGTTTTCGTTTTTGTTGAATATAGGTGCAATTACAACTAGTTACTTCAACAGTTAAATTATTTCTAAAAAAACCACAAACTACTCAAAATATAGTACATAAATTACTGCAAATTGCAACTACAGAATGTGAAAATCCTGATATTAGAGATCGTGCGTTTGTTTATTGGAGGTTACTTTCAACTGATCCACAAGCTGCGAAGGTATATAAAATAAAATAATTTTTTATTATTTATAATTATTATAATTATTTATAATAATTTACTTAAATCATAAACAAATAAATAATTATAGACTGTAGTTTTATCAGATAAACCAGTAATATCTGTAGAAAGTAATTCAATGTCAGGAGCTCTTCTGGATGAATTAATTGGTAATATCTCTTCATTGGCGAGTGTATATCATAAACCTCCAGAAACATTTCTTGGAAAGGGTAGATTTGGTGCTGATGCTGTTCAAAGAAGAGCTATTGAGTTAATATTAATAACACACATAAATTTGGTTTTTTCTTTCCCAAAAATTGAAAGTTAATTTTAATTTTTTTGCATTATTTTTTAAAAAAAGGGAACAACAAGAAGCTTCAAGAGAATCACCCATTCAAGCGCAAGTTAAAGCTAACATTGAAAACTTATTGGATCTTGATTTCAATGATAGTCCTACCAGTACAACACCACCAACAACATTTCCTTCAACTTTAACATCAACACCACCATCATCATCATCAGCTTCTAACTCAGCTACTACTGCTAATGTTGATGATTTATTAGGGTTATTTGATGACGATAGTTTCTCTATAAGTAAAACAGCAACATCTCAATTGACATCATCATCAAATCAAAATAATCCTACTGGTAATAATATATCAAATGATTTGGTTAATTTATTTTGATAGATAAATTTTTTTTGGCCCGGAGATTTTTAATGAAGTTTATGATCTGATGTATTTATTAAGTATTTAATTTTTGATTTTTCTTTGAATGTTTATTATTATTAATTAATCAATAGGTATTTCAGGAAGAGTTGTGTATTTTATAAAATAGAAAAATTACAATAATAGACAATTATTAATAAATAAAAAAGTTATAATTTATTTTTTAATTGATGATTAATTATTTGAGCCCCCATGATATCTTTATACTGTATGTATCATTGATGTTTATGTTCTTTCATTCTCTTCAAGTTTGATATTCAATATTTTTCGAGAGTATAAGAAATTATTATATTGCGTAAAACTAATAATAATTATTATTAGTAAAATAATTATCAAATAATCTACTCGCCAACAGAACATGTGGTTGTGGTGGTTGTTATCATCTGATTATGATAAAGATTTTAATATCCCGGACGGATTTCAGATTCTGAAAATAGGAATATAGCGCATGTCACAGTAACACATAACATTCTTGTGTACCTTAGATATTCGATCATGTATCACAAAACCCAGAACTTATGACTCATAAAACTGTAAAATGGAATGTTATAGGCAGTGATGGGAATTTTTAACCATACACTTAATAATTCCAAGTTATTAATTAGCTATTAACCACTTATTAACTATTTATTCTGAGCAAGGGTTATTAACCAAAGGAAAACCTATATACAGACCAAGTCTTTCCTAATTTGGAATCCCTATTGTTATTTTGCAAAAAAAATTTATTGCCCATAAAAGTTCTTCAGGTTTGTGTTTTTTAACACTTAGTAAGTCACTAATAGAGTTATTAACTACTTAATAACTTGATAATCTTAATGACAATTTTTATGCCCATCATTAGTTATAGAAATTTGCATGTGTTTACAATCTGATTATTATAATAAAGCAAATTTGATTAAAAAATAGATTTACTCATACTTCAAATTTTTAATGGCACACAAAATGAGTCTACCAGAAGAAATGACTTCATCTCTTTGTTATCCATGTAAGGCTTTTCTTCTGTTGTTTCCAGCTAATTTAATCTCATTGCCAATACTAGCTTCTTATAAGAATATTGGAGCAAGCCTCTTGAGGAATAGGGAGTTACCAATTGGGATATATCTAGTGTCCCAATACTTACCAATTTGTGATACAAAGATCCCTAATTTTCATTTATTTTAATTTTAAAAGGTTGAAAATTTACATCAAACAATAATTCTTCAATTATATTAGAATTATCAAATCCCATTAAAGAAAGGCCTGAATAATTTTGGCAATCAACTCAGATCCAATTCAAGACCAGCTTATCACTTACTTTTTATTGCCAGAATGTTTTCCATGTATTGTAAAGCTACATACATATGAAACATATATGAATGGATCAACAAAGGGGTTCCAATTTTTCTAGATTGAATTCCAAATTTGGAAAGATCCCTGACTGTAATAATGTAAAATAAATTAAATAGTTTGATCACTCAAGATTGTCTAGATGCCAATGAATATGTTATGATTGACCAAAATCTTCTTGTTCAAGAAGAAATGACAACACAAAAAATTGTAAATATTGTAAAAGGACAAAGTGAAGTTGGTGATGACAATGATGAAACAAATAAACCTGAGCCAATGATCACTAATATGGAAGATTATTATAATGTCAATGTTTTAAATGAATAAATTGATTTTTTTTAAATTTTTACCAACTGGATTTTATTATTACTATTATTTGTATTCATACTATTTAAATAAAATTTATTTTTTAATGTAACATGTATCATATGATTTAATCAAAAATTTGATTTTTTACAGATATCTCAGTTTAGTGGATAGATTTCCTGGAACAATCATATCCATTATACTGAAATTCACTATGTATTATTATTAAGAAAAAAAAATCTTTAATATTATGGTTAAATAAAGCCTGTATTAATACTTTCATTTATATCAGTCAATTGAGACTTGATGACTTGATGATGCTAATTACATTCTAAACATACAAGTTGTACATTACCTCTGATATGTCCCAATTTGTTATATATTCAATCAACTGTCCATTGATATGGGTCCATGTTTTCATATTCCTATTTCATTAAGACATCATTTATATTTATTTTTTTGTGAATCTTTCAATGCAAAACAGTTAAACCAAATCCCTGATAATAATATCTGATAAGTTTTTTCTTGAATTAATCCTCTTAATCTGCACTCATCAATTTTCTTTTTTCTTTCATTATCAAGTTTTTCTTTAATCTCAGGAAGTAATAGTAATGGTGGACCTTCAATCTAAATAGGGTGATTTAAATATTTTACATGATCAATTGCAAGCGGACCTGGACACTTTACCAACACCCACTTTACCAACACCCACTTTACCAACAGGACACTTTACCAACACCCACTTTACCAACAAGACACTTTACCAACAGGACACTTCACCAACAGGACACTTTACCAACAGGACACTTCACCAACAAGTATTGTGTTAACAATTTGCCAAGGACTGTGTGAATACCTGGATAACTAGCTAAAAATTTGGTTTTTTACAAC